ACACCTGAGCTGGCAGGTTCGAATCCAGCCTGGGCCTGCCAAACAACAATGACAGCTGCAACCAAAAAATAGCTGGGTGTTGTGGCTGGGACTACTATGGTCCCAGCTACTTGGGAGGCGGAAGCAGGAGACTTGCTTGAGCCCAGGAGTTGGAGGTTGCTGTGAGCTGTGATGCCACGACTCTACCCAGGGTGACAGCTTGAGGCTCTGTCTCAGAAAAAAAGAATAAATTTTTTTTTTTTGGCCGGGGCTGGGTCTGAACCCGCCACCTCTGGCATATGGGGCCGGCGCCCTACTCCCTTGAGCCACAGGCGCCGCCCCCAAAAAGAAACTTTTAAATGAAAAAAAAATAGAGTTTGCCGGTTTTTTTGTCTGGCCATAATCAAAAGAACTAGCCACTACTTTGTGGTCCATTTAATTCTTTCTTTGTTTGCCGTTTTTGGCCGGGGCTGGGTTTGAACCCACCACCTCCGGCATATGGGGCCGGCGCCCTACGCCTTTGAGCCACAGGTGCTGCCCCCCATTTAATTCTTAATTCTTCAAGGCCTGGATAGAATTTCCCTCCTTTCGAAGAGGCTCAAAGAGGTGAAGCAATTTGCACAATGTCTCCCAAAGAAGGGCTTGCTGCTCACTCATACGGATTTTACCGCGCAGCGCCACTCGCCCAAGGTAGAGATTTATTTTATTTTATTTCATTGTAGAGACAGAGTCTCACTTTATCGGCCCTCGGTGAGTGCCGTGTCATCGCACAGCTCACAGCAACCTCCATCTCCTGGGCTTAGGCAATTCTCTCGCTTCAGCCTCCAGTAGCTGGGACTACAGGCACCTGCCACAACGCCCGGCTATTTTTGTTGTTGTTGTTGTTGCAGTTTGGCCGGTTCGAACCCGCCACCCTCGGTATGTGGGTATAACGAACCCGCCCCACCCCCTGAGCCACAGGCACCACCCACTAAGGTCGAGGTTGGTGCGCAAACGTTACAAGCACTGACGGAAAACTTCTCCAACCACAAATATCTGCTACTTCCGGGAGCTTGCCGGAGACCCTTACCACGCTTGCGCATCCCCCTTGACGTCACCCGCTCGATCCCACCCACTTCTGGAACGCGGAGCCGCTGAGCGGGCCGGCGGCCATTTTGTGAAGCCGCGAAGGAGGTGTTGGCGGCGGTGGGCTCCGGGAAGCCGTTCGGGCTGGGGCTGTCGGCCGCGGGGCGGAGGCACTCGCGCGGGGGGTAACTCAGGTCTGGGTTCTGGTGCCGCGCAGTTCTCCCCGGTAAGACTCCCGCAGCCCCGGAACGGGCGGGGCTGTGCGGGGCTCGAGCCGCCCCTTGGTGGCCCGGGGCGGGGCCTTCGGAGGCCTTCGAGCCAGCTGCAGCGAGCGCCCCACACAAAGGGTCGGGGCAGGGCTGCGGGGATCTGGGGTTCTTACGCATCTAGCTCTGAGAGGATGCGAGAAAGACGCGGGGGAGGATGAGCCTGAGTACCGAAGTGGGGATGCGGTCATAGCGAAGGCGCCCCTGTCGTCTGAGAGAGGCAGGAGGCCGGAGCTGGTGAACTATCGGCCTGCGAACTAACTGGGACTGTAGTGAAGGCGTCCAGAATGGAGAAGATTTCCTATTCCCCCCAGTAGGTTAGGTTATACCTACGCCTCTATGCTCCAAAGTGCAGAAATAATAGGACAGGAAAGGAAAGGAGCCCCCGTGGCCTACCAGCAAAAGGGGGCTCTAGTCACACGTGTTGGGAGGAAAGCTGTAGTCAGAAAAGTGTAGTGAATTCTGGAAGGAAGTATCTGAACGGGCCACTTTTTTGGCCTCAAGGTGGAGGGGGAAGGGTTGCAGTGAGATGCCCTCAAGGCCCATGTAGGGAGGGGCTTACTCTATTGGGAGTAGCAGTTTGAGAAGCGGGCCTTTGCAGCTAAAAAGTGGAGGGTGAGGATGCCTCCCAGGGCGTGAGAATTGCAGTAAGATACCATGCACTTGGTCCCCAAGTAGGAAAGGGACTTGTCACTAGCACCCTTAACGACTTTTTAGGGAGTGCAGCCCCCGGTACTGAGGGAAGACGAGGTCGATGGGATGTGGAGGTGGATGTTTTTGATGGAGAGTTGAGTTCTGGGAAGGTTGGCTGCTCCAGTTTAGTACCACGTGCAAGGGGTGGGAGGGCCTTTGAGGAGCTACAGGTTAGTGACGGGTGGACTTCGATGCAGCAGGCTTAGTTGCTAGGTTATAAGCTTGTGTACTACTTGTGTGCCTCTAGTGTGTGTTTTATAGTAAAACATTCGGGGGGCTCCAGTGAGGCTTATTAAGGGTTAATAACCCTATTACTTAGGATTGTTAAGTGCTTAACATTAATTCAGCTGAATGGCGTGTACTAAGAGTTGCAGGCTTAAGAGGTTTCTGAACCCTAAAACTCGCTTTGGCTCCTCGGTTCCTAGAGATGACCTAATGATGCTGGTCAATACTGGAAAAAGTGACGGCAGGTGAAGGTTTGTTGAAAGGAGAGGCTTGTGACTGTGCAGTTTTTCCTCTTAGAGCTTCTTGCTTGAATGGTTTGAAATGGCGTAATTTTTGTAAAATGTAGTTTTAGAAACAAGAATTGCCCGGAACCTTGTTGATTAGTGTATACTGTTAATGCATTTCAGAGCATTTGGACTTGAAAATAATATTTCAAGTCTGCACTTGTAGGGAAATCTTGTTTTGTTTTGTTTTATTATTCAAGACTGGTTGAAATTTAGTGGTTTCGATAGAATGGAGGATTCTGGATTTAATCTGTTCAGACATTTTCCAAGATTTTTTTTAAATCGGGAAGAACTGTTAAAGGTGGTTCAAATAACTTTATGGTAGTTTATGAAGAAAATTAAATGTTTGACGTATTTATAATAAAATTTCATGAAGACGTGCTTAGTATGTATCAATTGGGCAGTTTAATGAAACGGAATGCGTTTTTTATCACTTTCCTATGTTCAGTTTAATATTGATTACTTTGTTTGGATTTCATGAATTATTTTAATTTTTTTAATGTTCAAATCTGTTAGGTAAAAATGTGATGTTTTAGAAACCATTGTTGTAGTTACTTGGAACATATTGTAACCTGTTAATACGAGTACACATTAGGCTTCTTTCACTTTTTGCTTTGGACATGCCAAATATTTTGATGACTGCGTATTTAGAGTTTGGGAGTTGCTGGTACAATTTCTGGATGTGAAACTTGATTTTGTGGGCCTGTGTGTTCCAGGTGCTGGATTCCATTGACAATTTGATACTGTTTTTATTCCAACTCACAGAGAGCAACTATATTTTTCAGTGTGGATGTTTTCTTTTGTAGATATTGTAGGAAAGAACTGTCAGTAACTGGTTGCACAAAAGATGTTTTTGGATGTCACTAAAATGCACAAGTGGTTGTCCAGTTTTATACCTTTTTGTCTGGGCTGCTAGTGCTTCATGTTTGTAAATGAATACTGTTAAATGTTTTAGGTCAACTAAACAGAACATAATTTTGTTTAAGTTAATAGTTTATCAGATTTTCCTAACAACCCCCCTATGCCTTTTGGTTTACGCAGAGTTTAAATTTAAAACCATAGTGAAGGTAAATGTTGTTGATTAGGCTTGAAGTAATAATTTTCCTTTGAAGTTTAAATGATAAGGGATATTTTTGTTGGCATTTGGGAGGGCGGGTTGAGAAACAATATTAAAATCTTTTTGGCAGAAGGACTATCTTATTTAGAAAAGTCTTCTGATTTGCGGCCTTTGAGTACTGAATGGAAGTTAATGAGAAAACTGAGTGATGTATTATAAAAGGGATATATCTCCATCCGTGTCAGAAGAATTTTTTCACTGAGAATAATCCCAGAATCTGAAATGTGTTCTGTGTGGGTGGGGGACAGAAATCAAGTGGGTCGACTTGTGGTGGTTTCATAATGCCTACCATAATTGATTATACTGCTTTATAGCATTGTGTCCATTGTGATTTATTTTCTGTTGCTAATCTCTGAGGTGGACTTGTGAGGGGTTGCTGGTTTTTTGTTTCTTTGGGAGCCAAAGAACCTGGCTCTGCTGTACCCTACTTGTCTTTTAGACTGATGACTGTACAAAGTTAAAGTTTACTGTGGGTGTTTTTTTTTTTTTTTTTTTTTTTTTACTGTGGGTTTTTAAGAGTGGAAATGGTCAAGTTATAGTTAATACCTTGACTTCTTGATAAAGAGATTTGTTGTCATACATTTTATTCTGAAATTCCAAGTGATAAGAAAGTGTATGTTATCTTAACATACTAATTGTTTGTAGCAGATATCTGTAGTTTTGTGCGTGTATCTAGCATTTGTCAAGCAGAAGCAAAGCCTATGTTAGGACTAATTCCTAACATGAAAACATACTAATGCAGGCTTCTTGTTTTAGATCTTCTAAAATACATCCGTGGATTTAATGGCAAATCAGGTCCATTTTCTCCTTTCCTACCATTAAGTTCTATCTGTAGATAAAAATATGTATTTCAGAGTTTTTTTGTGTAGAATTATTTCAGTCCCATCTTTCTAAAGTTCAGCAAAGTTTAAAGTCAGTGGGATGGATTTTTGATTTTGGAGTGCTGCATTCAGTTGCTAGCTGACATTTAGAACACAGGAATGAGTAGGTTGGAAAACAGGGATGCCTCTTATTAGATTATTGTGGTCTTTACAAAATGTGGTATCAAAACAGATAAAAGCAGTGTATTTCCTTTTCCATTCACCTTTCTTTTTTGAGCAAAAAAATAATGTAATACCAAGGGTTATGAAGTTCTGACATTTAGCTTGAATCTTCTGCATATTTTTACTTGGTATGTGATGGGATAGGGCTTCCTCTTTGCTGAAATAGAAGAGAATCAGAAGTCCTTTTTTTTGAGACAGTCTCACTGTGTCACCCTTGGTAGAGAGCTGTGGCATCACAGCTCACAGCAACCTCCAACTCCTGGGCTTAGGCAATTCTCTTGCCTTAGCCGCCTGAGTAGCTGGGACTACAGGTGCCCGCCATAACACCTGGCTATTTTTTTGTTGCACTTTGGCCACGGCCGAGTTTGAACCCACCACCCTCTGTATATGGGGCTGGCGTCCTACCCACTGATCCACAGGTGCTGCCTGTGGAAATCACAAATTTATATATGGATTAATTTTGTACTTTAAGTTGAACACACAAAACTTGAACTAGGCATTTGCCAGATGTAACTGAGCCTTTCAACCTTGCTTTGTGGAATGAAAAGTTTGCTCCTTTTAAAAATATTTTCGGGTATCTTGTAGAATTTTTTTAATACTTTGAGAGTAGACCTAGGGAGTTCCCTTTGAGCTTAACTGGCTGAATGTGTCCTCCATACAGACATACAGTGCCTTTTTGGGTGTGGAAGGAAAGAGGATGAGGAACTTGTTTCCCATGTATTTAGGAAATATACCCCGGCCCCCATACTAAACCTTTAGAATTGGAGTTTCCACTAGGGGTCACATGTTTATCACAAGTGCTTAACTAGAAAATTACCCTGGCTATTAGAGTCAAACCTGTGCATAAATACTGCAATAATTAATGATATTCCTCATTGCTTTACTTGAAGCAAGCTTTGTTTCACATCTTCCTTTGGTGACTAGTTAGGTAAACTAGATACG